TCAAGACACTGAGGATAGCAAAGCGCATTATAGAGAATGCAGGAGTGATCTTAAAAGAGTGATAAGACAGGCAAAAAGATCGCATGAGAAGAGGTTAGCGGGTAACATAAAGGGGAATCCTAAAATATTTTACAAGCACATAAAGGAAAAAAGGTTAGTTAAAGGTAGGGTGGGGCCAATCAAAGACAATGACGGCATCTTGTTGTGGAGGCAGAGGGCATGGCTGATGTACTAAACGAGTACTTTGCATCTGTCTTCACACGGAAATGGATGCCCCAAATGCCACAGTATTGGATGAGAGGGTAGAGGACATAGATCAGATTACTATAGACAGAGAGGAAGTTCTGAAAAGATTGACTGGGCTCAAAATTGATAAGTCACCAGGACCAGATGGGTTTCACCCAAGGTTGCTGTGGGAGATACGGGTTCAAATAGCGGAGGCTTTGGCCATTATATTTCAATCTTCATTGGACACAGGAGACTGGAGAGGGCTAATGTTACCCCCTCTACAAAAAGGGGCAGAAAGACAAACCCGGAAATTACAGGCCAGTCAGCCTAACTTCGGTAATAGGAAAACTACTGGAGACCATAATCCGGGACAGAATAAATCTCTACTTAGAGGAACATGAGGTAATTAGAGACACCAACATGGATTTGTTAAAGGCAAATCTTGCCTAACAAATCTAATAGAATTTTTTGAAGAGGTGACTGCGAGGGTTGATGAGGGAAATGCGGTGGACGTTATTTACATGGATTTAAAAAGGCTTTTGACACAGTACCGCATAAGAGGTTAATAAAAAAACTGGAGGCCCACAGTATTAAGGGGACAGTGGCAGTTTGGATTAAGAACTGCTGAGTGACAGAAAGCAGAGGGTGGTGGTTAATGGGTGTTTCTCGAATGGAAGGAGGTGTGCAGCGGTGTCCCCCAGGGATCGGTATTGGGACCACTGCTCTTTCTAATATATATTAATGATCTGGACTTGGGCATAGGGAGCACTATTTCCAAGTTTGCAGATGATACAAAGTTAGGTGGGTAGTAAATAGTGAGGAGGACTGTAACCATGATAGGAGGCAATATAGACTTGGAGCTCAATCTTAAGGGGGTGAACGTACAGAGAGATCTGGGCATTCAAGTAAGCAAATCATTAAAGGTAGTGCGGCAGGTAGATAGGGCAGTAAAAAGGGCATTTGGTGGACTGAGCTTCATTAGTAGGGCATAGAGTATAAGAGTAGGGGTTAGGGTTAATCTGTACAAAACACTGGTGAGGCCTCAGCTGGAGTACTGCGTCCAGTTCTGGGCACCTTACCTCAGGAAGGACATTAAGGCACTGGAAAGGGTGCAGAGGAGATTCACGAGAATGATACCAGGAATGGGGAACCTTAGCTATGAGGACAGTGGAGAAGTTAGGACTTTTCCCATTAGAGCAGAGAAGGTTACGTGGGGACCTGATAGAGGTCTTCAAGATCATGAAAGGTTTTGACAGGTGAGATAGGGAAAAGCTGTTTCCGCTGTAGGTGAGTGACCCGCAGTCACAGTCTGAAGATATCACCAACAGAAGCCGAGGGGAGGGTTAGAAGACATGTTTTCACTCAGTGAGTTGTTGGGATTTGGAATGATCTGAAAGGGCAGTGAAGTCCGATTCAATAACAGCTTTTAAGGGAGAACTGGACAGGAATCGGGGAGGACGGGTTTGTGGGGTTATGGGGAGACGGGTTTGTGGGGTTATGGGAAGACGGGTTTGTGGGGTTATGGGAGACGGGTTTGTGGGGTTATGGGGAAGACGGGTTTGTGGGGTTATGGGGAGACGGGTTTGTGGGGTTATGGGGAGAAAGCTGGGGAGTGGGGTAAGTGAAAGTGACGCTCTGTCAAAGAGCCGCACAGACTCAATGGGCCGAATGGCCTCCTTCTGTGCCGTAACATTCTATGTGTGTGTGAGGGTCTGTGTGTGTAGGTGTGTGTGAGTGGGTGAGGGTATGTGTGTGAGGGTGTGTGTGTGAGGATGTGTGTGAGGGTGTGTGTGTGAAGGTCTGTGAGGGTGTGTGTGTGAGTGTAAGGGTGTGTGAAGGTCTGTGAGGGTGTGTGTGTGTGAGGGTGTGTGTGTGTGAGGGTGTGTGGGTGTGTGAGGGTGTGTGTGTGTGAGGGTGTGTGTGTGAGGTGTGTGTGTGTGAGGGTGTGTGTGTAGGTGTGTGTGTGTGAGGGTGTGTGTGTGTGAGGGTGTGTGTGTGTGTGTGAGGGTGTGTGTGTGTGAGGGTGTGTGTGTGTGAGGGTGTGTGTGTGTGAGGGTCTGTGTGAGGGTGTGTGTGTGTGAGGGTGTGTGTGTGTGAGGGTGTGTGTGTGTGAGGGTGTGAGGGTGTGTGTGTGTGAGGGTGTGAGGGTGTGTGAGTGTGAGGGTGTGTGTGTGTGAGGGTGTGTGTGTGAGGGTGTGTGTGTGTGAGGGTGTGAGGTGTGTGTGTGAGGGTGTGTGTGTGTGAGGGTGTGAGGGTGTGTGTGTGAGGGTGTGTGTGTGTGAGGGTGTGAGGGTGTGTGTGTGTGAGGGTGTGAGGGTGTGTGTGTGAGGGTGTGTGTGTGAGGGTGTGTGTGTGAGGGTGTGAGGGTGTGTGTGTGAGGGTGTGTGTGTGTGAGGGTGTGTGTGTGTGAGGGTGTGAGGGTGTGTGTGTGTGAGGGTGTGTGTGAGGGTGTGTGTGTGAGGGTGTGTGTGAGGGTGTGTGTGTGTGAGGGTGTGACAGCCTGTCCCCCTCTCTCCCCGCCCCCCGCAGGGTGAGGTGCTGGGCCCCTGACGGGGAGGATGAAGCCGCCATCGCGGAAGCGAGCGGCCCCGGTGCGCTATGCGGAGCCAGCGGGGGCCGAGGGGGAGGCGGGGGCCGGGGGGGGCAGCGAGTGGACGGTCCAGGAAAAGCGGAAGCTGCTGGGGGCCCTCAGGGCCCTGACTCCGGGCTCCGAGGTTCATCCCGGCTCACTGAGCACCGCCCTGCCCGGCAAGAGCCAATCAGAGGTGAGGGCCGGGCTGGCAACTGGGAGGGGCTCTGTGTGGGAGGAGGGGCTGTGAGGAGGAGGGGCTGTGAGGAGGAGGAGAGCTCTGGAGGAGGAGGGCTCTGGTGTGGGAGGAGGAGGGGCTGTGAGGAGGAGGAGCTTTGAGGGAGGAGGAGGGGCTCTGAGGGAGGAGGGGGTGGCTCTGTGAGGGAGGAGCGGCTCTGTGTGGGAGGAGGGGATGAGAGGAGGAGGAGCTCTGTGAGGGAGGAGGAGGGGCTCTGTGTGGGAGGAGGAGGAGGGGCTCTGTGAGGAGGAGGAGCTCTGTGAGGGAGGAGGAGGGGCTCTGAGTGAGGAGGAGGGCTCTGTGAGGGAGGAGCGGCTCTGTGTGGGAGGAGGGGATGAGAGGAGGAGGAGCTCTGTGAGGGAGGAGGAGGGGCTCTGTGTGGGAGGAGGGGCTGGGAGGAGGAGGGGCTCTGTGAGGGAGGAGCTCTGTGAGGGAGGAGGAGGGGCTCTGAGGGAGGAGGGGGTGGCTCTGTGAGGGAGGAGCGGCTCTGTGAGGGAGGAGGAGGGGCTCTGTGTGGGAGGAGGAGGAGGGGCTCTGTGGGAGGGGGAGATGTGAGGAGGAGGAGCTCTGAGGAAGGAGTCAGGACTCTGTGACGGAGGAGGAGGGACGATGAGGGAGGAGGGGGATCTCAGAGAGAAGGAGGGACCCTCTGACAGGGGAGAGGCTGTGTGTGACAGGGGAGGAGCTCTGGGACTGGGAGGAGGGGCTCTGGGACAGGGGGAGGGGCTCTGGGACTGGGGGGAGGAGTTCTGGGACTGGGGGAGGGGCTCTGGGACTGGGGGGAAGAGCTCTGGGACTGGGGGAGGGGCTCTGGGACTGGGAAGGG